ACGAAATATTAATTTAAGCAAATTCTGGTAATTGGGCATAGTTTACGTACATTTTGAATAAAAGTCATAGATATATGATATATATAGTTTCTGTTAACAACATTGCACGATTCTTTTGAATTACTGAAATATGTCCATGGTAACGCCTGATGTAACAATTTTTTTTCAAAAATATTTTTTTTAATGCAACACAACTTAGTTAAGAAATGAGGTATCATTTTTAAGCATTTATAGGAGTTTAAATACGGGTTAGTCACATGATCAAATCCCATAAAGCAAAAAACTTTCAGTTCTACCCAAGTTTAATTCAATTACACCTACAATGTATCTTTAAATAAAGTGTATCTACTAGCATCTTTGTACCTGTCTTCAATTCAATTCTTTCTTTCTTCAATTCAATAGTTCTATTTCCAAATAAATTAAAGAGGCGTATAATTAAATTAAACCTATCCTCACTTCATTTGGAGATAGGTAAAATTGATATAAGATAGGAACAAATATTTAAATATATGAAAAAGGTGAAGATAACGAACTGTGTTCCATCTCATAAATCTTGTACACAGTACGAAACGTCAACAGGGCAAAAACACAGACATCCTGGGCACAACAGAGGTTCGTTTGTTTGTTTGTTAAACGTCCCTTTGAGAATGTTTCACTCATATTGACACGCCACCACTTGTCGGTATCGGGCTGCAAATTTAGACCTGTACTCGGCACTTGCAGCCTTTGAGTAGTGAGGGATCTTTTTTCGTGCCAGCACGTACTGCGACACGTGACGTCGGTTTATACGGTCTCATCCCAAGGACCGGTCTTCACGCCCAACGATGGGATTCGAACCTGCAACGTAAGGATCACCTTCTTACTCCGCGACTTTAGAGCTAACGCTCTAACAACTGCGCCAGCTGGGCGACGAAACACCAGAGGTAGAATAAATGTGCCTAGGATGTGAATTTTGGAGTTCGATCAGGTACATATATAGAACACGTGTCTTTGTGTAAATTTTTCTAAACACAACATACAGAAAATTTACACAGACACAGTTTTACTCTTATTCAAAGAAAACTGGTAGTTTCTTTTACAAAATTATTGTATAAAAGTTTATTTGGCAAAAAATATCTTTACAAAAGCATCTAATATGTAAGCTGTAAATGACTTTTGTACAACATTTGATTTGTTTTTGTTATTTCTTTTTTCATTGTAAAACTTTTTAAAAGATTTAGATACGGGATAAAAACCCTTTAAGAAGGATAAAACAAAACAATTCTAAAATCACTCAGGTATTCGTATTTAAAAAGGGTCATGTCAAGGTCATAGAGCAATATCGATTGTCGTTCGAAGAACAGTTGTTGAAACGTTCGAAGAACAGTTGCTGAAAGTAAATTTAGTTTTTAAAAAATTATGTCAGAGGTCAATTTTAAGATGAAAGGTCAGTATCAATGTCATGTGACAAGCATTGTATATGCTAAATATCATTTAAAAGGTACTTGTATAATGTCACTAAGAAAATATATCAAAGGTCAAATTCAAGGTCATCGTTGAAAAGCTATATGTACGTTGTCTTATTTTAGAAATTAAATTGTATAAACTTCTGAGAATGTTTGATATTAGAGTAAATATATAAACTAACATTGAAAAGCTAATATCAAAAAATTATACAAAGTAAAAAAACAAACTAAATACTAGACAATGCTCTCGGAACTAACAGAGAATTAAGTATATTTAAAAAAAACTTCAAACAATAAATACATAATAAATATACAAGGTACCTGTAAAGGTTTACAGAATAGTGCAAAGACGTTTTCTTACAAAAAATCTATAAAAGAGAGACGTTGAAAAAAATAAATAAAGTTGTTCAAGGACAAAAGGGTGGGGTGGGGTGGGGATTGACAATAAGAGAGGTAAGGTGGCCAGAGGTTTAGTTTTATTTTTAGTCAAATCTTTTACAAACTGAGAGAAAATCATGTTTTCTTTCTACGAAAACAGATTCTTGCGAATATTGATAATAAACAGTTTATGAAAATCCGTCTCATATGTTCAGAACAGTGCAAAACTCGTCAGCGTATCCCGATGTGTCTGCGTGAGATTTTGTCGATTCTTCGTGTTTGAAAACATTTGTAGCAGTATAAACAGTTTTACATTATAATCGGTCAATACATCCGTGCAAGGACAATTCGTGCTGTTGTTTTGCAAAATTGC